TTGCCCAACTGAGCCTGGTTTCTCTAGAGTTTTTTTTAATTCTTCACTTTCGCCAGTTGGTCGACGTTTTATCCTCACCGCTGTCGCCACTGGCTTGCATGGTTCAGGATCTGTAGAGCTGCGCATCGATGGATTTGCTTTTCAGTGTTTGGACTATCAGTAGTGATTATTAACCACACTGAACTGAGCTAAACTGAACTGAACTTAAACTGAACAACACTCTTTCAATTTACTATGATCTTTTATGTGAAGCTACTTTGACACAATCTACATTGTAAAAGCTCTATACAAATAAAGGTGAATTGAACTGATTCTGTCATGTATATAAATACTAAGATAACTTAGAGAGACTCAAACTGTTCAAACAACAGTAGACAGCGTAAACGATACACATGATTCAATGCCACAAAATGTGAATCACAACAGAATTTAGTTCGTAGGCACTGCTATTGTTGAGACTACAAGCAACGTCGCCCAGCAGCTCATCTATCAAGGCATTACTCTTAGAGACCAACATTTTGAGTTCCACTATGACAAAGCCCATTAAAATATAATTACATGTGCAGCTCCATGCACATACAGGTCTGCTAAAGGATTATAAGAACAAGTATTTGTATTTATTGGTCTTCTGAACCGTGAGGGTAATGAGAACACGTTCGCTCTCAGGGGCGAGCGGCATGCCAACAGAATATAGATGTGAAATAATTAAACGAAAGACCTGACATTGCAGTTCACACAGGATGCCAGTAATAAAATGTCACACTGCACTCAGAGGAGAAAGACACAAAAATTATACGAACAAGAATAGCACCATATATAAAGCCATAAATGTATACAATTAATTTGCAAATAGGCTTAAGAGAAAGAAGGAAATGGAACAATGAAGCTAGCAGGAGGGTATTCAATGTTTTATATGTAGTGCATTCGTGAATATACATCATAATAACTCCAGCTATTCTCAAACGCACGCCAGAAATGCAGAGAGCAATGATAAAAAAGAAAAAAAAGAAAAGTAGAAAATGCAAAAGAGCTGGTATGATGATCCTCATGCATCCTTTTAGAAGTCATCAGTTTGAATATAATCTGCCATTGTGTGCATCTGAAGTAGTCCTCGGTACTGCGAGTTACCCTTAACATCTAATAACGTCATCAAAACACCATACTCTCATGACTAACCATTATCTAGAAATCATTCAAATCCACAGCATGGTGGCAGCTTATATGCTTTTATTTTTCCGAGGGCTATGATTCAAACACTTGCCGAGGGATTTTTGAGACCAAACTTATTTTCTGTCATTTCCTGCTTTGCAATATGCATACTTGTCAGCTTTGTAGGAGGATGCAGAGACTAAAACCGCTTCATTCGTGCCAGGAAGCCCACTCAGTTCATGCAACCTGTTGTACATCTACGGCCCGATGTAGAATGGAGAAGAAAAATGTGTGTGTTATTGAAAGATTGGCACTTTTTATATTCTGCGATTACCTTTAGGTTCTTACTAAATCGCTCTATGCTGTTTTGAAAGCCATTATTGTTTCCTATGCCACTGTGTCCCCTAAAAATGACCGTATGTCAGGGTTTTATACATTTAAGACTTTTCAAGACCCTTTTAAGATCATTAAGAATTACATTTTAGACTCATACAGGGTTAAACACTAAGGATTATTATTTATTTTTTATTTTTTTGTAATGAGCCAGTATTATCACAAGGAGTCATATAATTGTTTTTAGTTTTCTTTAATTAGGGAATTAAATGGGAATTTGCTGTAAAATTGTCTATAAGATGTTAAATATAAAGAATAAGGTTTTATTTTGATGTATTGTTGGCAATTGTATAGATGCCGACCCGATTGAGTAGCTTTACTTAGACAAAGCTAATTTAAGACCTGTTTAAAATGATTTAAAAACTACAACTTAATATTTCAGTTCACATGTATGCTTATGACAACAGTCATTAAGTGTCATTCGCTCAGCTGTCGTTTTAAAATGTAAAATTGATATTGTCTGAGATGTCTTTGCGAAGGCAACTTGACAAATACATCACAACCTGTCTGTCATGACAAAGTCGGCAATATTTTTTTTTCAGTGGAACACACTGAATTTGTGATTAAGCTTTTTTTTTTTCATTAAAAATGGCAATACTGTCCAATTATTTTATAATTGTGCCATTAATATTTAACAATATTTTAAATGATAAATTCAACTTGTACCACTGTATAAGAGGTCAAGAAAAATATTAACGAAGCTGTTAAATACATGGCACAATCTTTATGGCCTCATGTTTATGACAGATTTATGACAAGTTATGTTGACACGTTACTCTGACACGTTTCATTGTCTTGGTAATGTCAAGCTTACATGACAAAGTCAAAGCATGCTATGATGTATTTGTTTATGTCAAGTTGTAATAAATGCATATCAAACAATGTCACCTTTGCATTTAAAATGACATAACTGAGTGAATGACCCTCAACAGTAGTTTGCATGCAAAAAAAGTCAATGTCATGATTATAAATATTGCATGAACACCCCTTATAAAGACTCCCTTTAAGTAAAGTGTTATAAGAAAACATCTTAATTTATTCACCTTCATGTACTTCCAAAGACTTTTCATTTTAGAACATTTTTTATGATGAAATCAGAGATTTCTGTCCCTCCATTGAAAGCCTGATCACCCCAAAATATGATATAATTAAATACATCCATTATAAATCAAAAGGCTTTAATCACATCTAACAGACTGAAGGATTGGATGATTAACCGATTTTACATAGAAATTCTATTCCATTCACATTCTATATTTATATTCACAAATAACCTTAGATCAACAAACAGAAACTTAACCATGCCTGTTTGTTAATATTTAATATGTTAATATATTTAATAATACATAAATTTATATAGCAGGTACATCCTCAATACTTCAGGAGGTAGAAAAACATGTTTCCTAAGAACAGACCTTCGGATGGCTTCCCATCACTTATTATTTCGAGATTCAATCTCGAATGTTGAATTCTGAAATGTAAATGGATTTTTAAGCTTCTAACCTGATCAAGTCCTCCAACACCACACCGTCTCCCGTAAGAACCCTGTCCTCTAATGAGACCTGTCTTGACAAGATGGAGCTCTGTTTTCTGTCACCATCGTGTTTGAGAGAATTAAAGTGAGGTCGTTTTAATAAACACTAGAAAATTTACACTGATGGATTCTCTTGCCCCTGGGCTGGCAGATTATCTTGAAAATAGAGAGCATGAGTCACACACAGGACATGTTTCTTAAGACCCAATAAAGCTTCACATCTACAGATGCATCTGAGCTGTGGAGACAAGATCGGGAAGGGGGAATAATATCCTGGGGAATACGATCTATATGGATTAGGGACAGAACGGTAAAATTGAAACTAAAGTAACATTTCTGATGGTTAGGATTACAGTTTCATATTGTAAACAAAGTGTGTTCAAAGTGTTTGAATATCGCAATTTTGAAAAGTTGTGATAAATCCTGTAAAGGATAAAGACTAAGAATAGTAAACATTTTATCTCACTCAATTATCTCACACTTACTGTTATCATCAATTGTACTTACATATTAGGACTGCAAAATACTAGGTATTTTATCTTATTTTTAGAGCTGTGAACCTACACTGGTCTCACGGTTCGGTTACGATTATCATGCCATCGAGTTCAATACTATATCTTAGTGCATCACGGTGCATTGACGGTGCTTTTCATACTAAGTTTTATATTTTCTTCACAGCAGCTATTCTTGTATTAAAATGTATGAATTTATTCATATTTATATTTGTAATACAATTTTGTCCTTTCATACAAACAGTCAGACATATAAACTGTACCTTCAAACAACAGTAGCATTTATAGAAATTAATATAAACAAATATAAATATCTTTCTATAAATCACTTTCTGATCCTTGTCTAGTTCTCTTACACCCCTTTGATTGGTCTGACCCTCAACAAAAACAGTTGCGATTGGCTCATGCGCGCTGCGCTCTTCACAGATGAGTGACACTGATAAGCGGCAGCGGCGATCACAACTGATCCATAATAGACACAGTGGAGAAAACTTTGCAGGCACGCGCTCGTGTCTGTATTCAGAAGTACAGCTGTAAAACAGACGGGAGGAGAAGACAAGTCATGCCAGTAGGTCAAAATGGACCACAGTGCGTGTGCGTTTGTGTGTGTGAGAGAGAGAGAGATAAAGAGAGAGAGAGGAAGAAAGAAAGAAAGAAAGAAAGAAGGAAAGAAAGAAATGGAGTACTTTCATTCTCTCAATCGCAGTGAAATAGGGGCTTCTGCTGTGTGTCTGTGAAAGACAGATCCAGCAAACACATACAGTGAAATTATGCACAATTTATGAATTTTAAGTTGTTGGGAGCGTTTTAAACACTCGCGATCGCCTCCCACGTGACGTCAGTACATAATAACCGGTAATGATTATTACTGAACCAATACCAAATTGTCCACGTCTGCATCGCGGTGCATCGAAGAAACAATTAATTATGACAACCCTACTTATTTTCATATTCTAAAATATGCAATTTGTAACATTGTTGATTGTTGCAATAATATTTCTGATATTTAAAATTTTTTTATAAAAAAATAATTTAAAAAATAAATAAAGGCAATTTTTTTTCTGAGCTAACTTAAGTAAACTTAAGTAAGACTTTAAATCACGAATGACTGAAAACCTCAGCAGAAATTTAGATTCTTATTGGCTGTTGTCATTTTCCTCTCTTGTCTCATTGCATTAGTGTTTATTTTCAGCTCTGGGTTCACCTACAGGAGGTGGGGATGACGATAGTAAAGAACCCATCTGATTGGTCAGATTTAAAATGGATCCCAAGGTATCTCCTTCCAATGAGTTAAAATAATTTTTACAACAATGTTTGCTATAAATCACTTTTTAATATAGGCTGCAGCAAAGCCATATGTTCTCAGCCCAGGATGTTGTTGTTTTTGATGTCTAACAGTGAGCTGGACTTACCTAGTGGACAGTTACAAATGTAGTCATTGACCAGATCAATGCAGGAGCCTCCATTATTGCAGGGTCTGGACCAGCACTCATTCATACTCTCAGAGCACGTTCGACCTGTGTGATGAACATTTACACAGACTACAGTACATGGATAACAAGGTGACTGTATAACATATAACAACTATAAAGTCAGTGCTAATTATCATTTAGAAAATGCTTTAGTTTCAATTTAAACAGGGTCATCAATTGGGGAAAAAAATGTCACAAAAATTGTATTCAGAGAGAATTTTCTGAAAGCTAAGTCATGTTGTTTTATAATCTGAAACATGCTGCCACCTATATTCAATATTCAACATATAATGAAATTAGCAGACAAGAAAACAATACCAAACTTCTAAGACCTCTGAATTTGTGAAAATATTTGTACAGTTCTTAAAATGTGTCAATTTAAGGAATCTATTGTCATGTTAAATGTTGTGTTTAATTTATGGATACTGCTCGCCTAATATTAATATAACTACAATTAATTAACTGATATAATTTTTGAATTACATTTCAAAATGTAACTTATGAAGTGTACCTGCTAGTTTGAACCACTGAGTATCTAATGTACTTTATCATTAATTTGAATTTGGTATAATTGTAATATTTTTTTGTTGCATTTTAAATTAACTTTAGGTATTACTCATTTGTTAATTGTGTTTTGTAATAGTTATCATTTTTAAATTATTATTATTATTGTAATTTTAATTAATATGTTCATTTAGTTTTAATATAAATTTAAATTAATGCATTGAGCTTTTAGTTTTGTTTTCATTTTAAATTACAGTTAAAGTCTTAGTTAAAGTTACTGCAACTAAACAGTCAACACAAATCACAATTTCACAAAATCACAATGTGTCCTATGTTAAAACATTTCTGGATTAGTTATTTTACAATTATGTCTAAGGTGTTGGATGTAAATATAAACCCATCCGCTGATGTAGCCATTTTTGTGGTTCCAAAGATTTTGTCCCAGTTTAATTCTAAACAACTTGATATTTACCTTATTATAAGCTAGGCCCTGCATTCTACTTCACTGGGAATCAAATAAGCCTCCAACTGCATCCCAATTGCATGTGGATAACATGTATTTTATAAAGATAGAAAAGTTAAGATGCTCTTGGAAAACATTTTTTTTTTTCTTTAAAAAGTGCCAATGTTTTATAACTGACTTTAATTCTCTTATGCCCAATCCCAATTCTATTTTTTTCTTTAACGGGGACAATGCACAAAAATGACATTAACCTCAAGGAGGAAAGATGCATTGTGCCAGGTTGTAGCAGGATTGCTACTTTCCACCTGCAGTCCCTGGACAGGTTAGAATTAAAACAATAATATCCATATAGATAAAAAGTCAGTTTAAATCATTCAGGCATAATCACATTTAAACTAAAACACTGATAACTCAAAAACATCTCACTCAGTTTGTACAAATTGGATTTGACAAAAACCAACTCCTAGTCAGGCGTGAAAACCTCTTATAATTTGTACATGTGATCATTTCTGTTGGAAGAGAATTCTATAGATTTGAGGCTTCATAAATAAAAGAGGATTGACCAAAAGAGGTCTTACTTCTAGAGACAATACATTCCCCTCTTACCATAGAACGCGACACTTACGATGTTTTCTCTGATATGGAATTTAAAAATGTTTTTAACAATGGAGCAGAAAGATTGTGAATCATTTTAAAAACAAAACAAATATTGGAATATTTAATAATATTATCAAAACTTAGTTAAATAAATTTGATAAGAAGTGCGCAACATTTTCACGCTAGAAAGCATGTATTATGCAGGAACCTAACTGATATGCTGCAACAGCCCCTTTAAATATGAGGTCAACGTAATGAATTTTGACGCTCTGGCCGCCTTGGCGACAACGATGTCTGCCTTCAGCTCCAGTGGCGAGAGCATCAAAATTTGCGACATTGATTTCTTATTTAGCGACCTTGACCGCTCTCACCGCTTTCGGTGTGAACGCACAGTAAGAGGGAATTGAGATAGATGCACTCACCTTCCGTTTAATATTTTTATTTTATTTCTTAGCAATTTAAGTTTGTTTTTAAATATTATTATATTATACTGTTTAACTGTAAATATTTACTTTCAACATTGACAACATATTCAAACATTAGATTGTGATTGTTGAATGTCTGCATTCGGTTGGTTGTAATTTTCCGCACACTTTTATTACTATTTTTTCTATTTTTCTTTGCCTTTTATTATTATTATTATTTTCCTTTTATTAATTATTTATATTCTCTTTTGTAAATAAAATAAAATAAATAAATCAACAAAGATAATTTTTAAAAGTAAAATGGTAACAATTTTTGTAATAGTGTGTTTTTTCTCAATAAAACATTTGAACAAAGTCTTAGTAACTAGTTTGTGTGTTTTTCATCATTATTAGGTTTTAGTTTTTTGTAAATCCATCTATCTATCTATCTATCTATCTATCTGTCTGTCTGTCTGTCTGTCTGTCTGTCTGTCTGTCTGTCTGTCTGTCTGTCTGTCTGTCTGTCTGTCTGTCTTACATGCAAGTTGCAAATATTTTTTCCGGAAAATATGATATTCACAAAATGTGGCCACTGCATATAAGAATCAATTGAGAAGGTCAATTGTACATTAATTATTTAATTCAAATTAATTATAGATTTAAAAAAAAAACATTATAACAATCATTTAAAACCCCAGTGCCCTCTTTAAATCTCGAGGAAATCAATGATGTCAAAATGAGCTACTGAAAGTCAATGTCTATCAAAGGGCTGGAGTTTCCCCGCCCACGTTAACACTTCTAAATAAAACATTTGACTTACCCTTAAATCCTGGTGCACACAGGCATTGGTATCCTGCCACCAAATCAATGCAAGTGGCATTATTGGTGCACGGCGCACTTTTGCATTCATCTGTCTCAAGCTCACAGAGCGTTCCCTCATATCCCAGCATGCAGCGACAGGTGTAGTTGTGCTGTTGGTCCACACAGACGGCGTGTTCTGAACACTGATGTCCAGAGCAGAAGTCAAGTTCGCAGTGGACTCCGGTGTATCCGTGACCGCAAAGGCAACTTGGGATGCATAAAACAGTATCTCTTAATGGAATCGCAAAACAAAACAGCCGGACACAGTATGAAAATAAATGGCTGAGTCATGGGGGAGGACGATGTAATTTGCTTTGCTTTCCATCACAGGAACATGCTATTTGTTTCAGCAGCTATGGGTGGTTTAATTCTAGAATGAGACCGTTAACAGCCATTGAACCTGATCTGAATCTCAATTTTAATTTCATACAGAGAGAAGCACCCTGTTAAATATAAATCCAAAAAAAAAATAAATACTACAATGGGAAAACAAAATGCTATTATAGATTTATTTATTTCCTAAATTTATTCACTAATGTGTTTTTAATTCCTGCATTGTAATGGTTTATTTTAAACACTTTTTTTTTTTTCCCCAAAATACTCAGAATTAATTAAGGCTAACCTTGCAGCACATGCATTCATATATGTTTCTCTTTCAGATGCTGAATGTAAGGAAAGAGTTTATATAAATCTTACAACGTGGCTTGCAGAAGTCAATTTAATGATCTTTGTGTCATTATTTATAGCTTTCTTGCATGTCTTAACCTGTTTTGCACCTGTGTCGTTAGTAGATTACACCTGATTATCATCAGCTCTGCTTGTTTGCGTCCCTACACTAATTTGCACTGCACTTAGTAGATTGTGTTGCTCATTATTGAAATGGGCCGTTGCCTCTGCATTATTTAATGTGCACATTATCCTGGTATCCATTACAGAATTTTGTAAAACTTTAGCTATATTTTCCAAAACATCAATTCAACTATTGCATGAGGTTTGCTTTTCTATTATTCAAGGTTATGTATCTATAACTTTCTATGATAAATCAATTCAAGAATCATGATTATGGATGATGGTAAGTTCACATTTGTGGCAGCATTATATCTAATCAAGGGAGATGTAGGGTTGTTATCCAACCATTAATGATATGGAAAGCTGCTTATATTTGGTGGCAAACATGTTTATGGTGTTTCTGGGAGGGTATAGTATGGGATTTCACAGAAATGTGGATCCTGAATTTATAGATGAACGGATAATGGCTTGTTTCTGCAAATAAAAGCACTGCCATCATTTTAAAAAATGAGCATGCAAGTTTTACACACGCCAACTGAACTGTAAGTGTTAAAAAAAAAAAAAAAAAAAAAAACTCTTTCCATTGAAGATTTATGAAGTATTCCTTTGTGTGGTTGTGAAGCTGGAATGTTTTAACAATGACATTAAGTGACAAGATAAAACAAAACATGTTGGACACAATTGCCATTTAATCATAAGTCCTATTATAAAGGCCGTGCACACCGGGATGCTTTTTGCTGGCATTTTCCGTTCACGTTAACACCTTTGTGACTAAATAAAGGGTGCCAATTTGATTGTGCACACCAACACGCAAATGGCAGGTGTAAAAACTTATGTTAATGTTAAAAGCATAATGTTTTTTAAAGAAACGCCTCATGCTCGTTTTTATTTTTTTGTTTTCCTTTTCCACCAATCAGATTGGCACTTTTGTTCACTTGCACGGAGCTGCTGAAGTTACAGTAAAAAGCAATTGGTGATGCTCAAGTGCAAAACTGTCAATGTGAGCGCACAATGCCGAAGATGCCCAGAAGAGATATGAACGTGGAGCTGCTTATTGCACTGGTGAACAATAATAATTCCTTCATTGCTAGAGCTGGAGATGTTATTTGAATCATCCTTAACTGTTCAAATCGCCAGTAACTTTAACAACAAGCATGTCAACTCTGTCTTCTTCTTCTGTGTTACAAGCGGGTGTCAGAAGCTTAAAGTTGTGTAGCGCTATCTAAGGTCAAGGAGTGATTTTGCATCCTCTTCTGCTCGACGCCAGTAAATATCGCTTTGGTTATTCAACTATTAATGATATGAAAAGCTGCTTATATTTGGTGGCGAATATGTTTAAGGTGTTTCTGGGAGGGTATAGTGTGGGATTTCACAGAAATGGGAATTCTGAATTTTTAGATGAACCGATCAAGGCCTGTTTCTGCAAGTAAAAGCACTGCCATCATTTTAAAGAATGATCATGCAAGTTTTACAAACACCAACAATTGAAGATTTATGAAGTAATCCTTTGCGTGGTTGTGAAGCTAGCATATTTCCAAAACACTGAGTTACAAGAAAGAAATAAACATGTTTGATACAACTGTCATTTTATCATAAACCCTATTATAATATGTAGCACATGTCATATGGATTACTTTTAGGGTGCACATTTATTTTTATTAATTGTCATTCATCATAAGTCATATTATAAGCCTTAGAATATGTAGAATAAAGTATTTTTAGGGTGCACATTTATTTATTTATTTTTATTTATTTATTTATGGCGCTTGACAACTTTTAGGTAACTAAAACTTTTATTTTTGGTTTTGCAGAAAGCATTGGTTTGGAATGAAATGGATTATTAATGAAAATGTAAACTTTAGGGTAAACTATTTTTCAATGTTTATATAGATTTGTGAGTATTTATGTGACTCATTATGCGACTCTTGTAAATTTAAATGTCTAAGGTCCTTCACTAATTTGCACTGCACTTAGTAGATTGTGTTGCTCATTATTGAAATGGGCTGTTGCATCTGCATTATTTAATGTGCACATTATCCTGGTTTCAATTACAGAATTTTTAAAAACTTTTGCTTTTCTAAAACATCAATTCAACTATTGCATGGTGTTGACTTTTCTATTTGTCAATGTTATGTGACTAAAACCTATTATGATAGTCATTTTAAGAATCATGATTATGGATGGTGGTAAGTCCACATTTATCACTGCAATATATTTAATCGAAGGAGATGTAGGGTTGTTTTCCAACCATTAATTATACGAAACATGTTTAAGTTGTTTCTAGGAGGTTATAGTGTTAGATTTCACAGAAATGTGAATTCTGAATTTTAACAAATTGAATTGTAACATTTACATATGCTAGCTGACCTGTAAATGTGAAAAGAAAAAGAAAAATATTGTGAAATATTTATTTTTAACATTTATTTGTGTGTATGTGGGCGACGCGGTGGCTCAGTGGGTAGCATGTTCCTCTCTTAACATTAAAGTGGCTGGTTCAAGCTTTGGCATTTCTGTGTGGAGTTTGTATGTTCTCCGTATGTAAGATGTGGTATAGGTGAATTGGGTACAGTATGTTCAAATTGATCGTAGTATATGAATGTGTGTGGATGTTTCCTAGTGATAGGTTGCAGCTGAAAGGGCATCTGCTCTGTAAAACATATGCTGGAAAAGTTGGTGGTTCATTCCACTGTGGTGACCCCAGACTAATAGAGGGACTAAGCCGAAAAGAAAATGAATGAATGCGTGTAAAAATTGCATTAAAAAAAAAAAATGTTTAAGAAAATTGTCATTCAACATGCAATGTAAGCCCAATTATAAGACGTTGAGCATGTAGCATGTGTCATATGGACTACTTTTAGGGTGTGCATTTATTTTTAATAATATTAATATTTTTATTTACTTATTGTTTTATTTTTAAAGCTTTTAGGTCACAATAAACTAAGTGTAAATAGCAAAGGTGCTCATCATTTCTTTATATTTTTGATTTTGCAGATAAACAAAGCTTTGGTTTGAAATGACGTGGGTAATTAACGACAAGTTAAAATTTAGGATAAACTATTCCTTCATTTGACTATAAACTATTGTTTTTTTTTTATGCTGAGCACAGATTTTTATAAACAGTAATATTTATTGAAATAACATTTGGTTTACCGAACATATTTAGAAATAGAAATATAATACTATTTTTTTCCCTTGATACTTCTCTTGATTTTTCCTTTTTTATTATTATTATTTTTACACTTTTAATCTAATATTCCTTTGTTTACCCTAACATTTAAAGTTGTATGTACTCATTTTTGGACCGTTTTCCCTATTATATTACAGTTATTTTGTTAGATTAGTTCCAGATTTGGCTTCAGTTGGCTGACTTAACAAATATATAGGCAAAAAAAAAAAAAAAAATATATATATATATATATATATATATATATATAATATAATAGATACTATTAATGAAAAAAATAGATTTATAAGGGTTTTACAAAATACTGAGCAATATATATATATATATATATATATATATATATATATATATATATATATATATATATATATATATATATATATATATATATATATATATATAAACATATACACATACATGCACACTTTCTCAAAACCTATGATGTTAAAAAAAAAAAAAACAACAACCCAAAACAGACTCGCATGTATATCGAATTTTCTAAGGTAGGCATTTGTTGCAATCCAAGCACACATTTTGTTAAGAGGTTTTAAAAAAGCACAAGATAAAAAGCATTTTCACCCAGACTCACCTGTATCCGCCAACCTCATCCACGCAGGTGGCTCTGTTCTGACACCTGTGCTGGACACACTCATTTATGTTGACCAAGCAGGTCGCTCCAGTCCACCCAGGTGCACAAACACAACTGTAACTGGTGATGTTGTGAAGGACACAATGTCCTCCATTGGCACACGGCTGTGGAAATGAAAATCAACCATTATTCCTGAACAATCCTTCATTTAAATACGTGTGTAAAGGTAATTCTGCTTCTTTGTAAACAGACAGTCTGTCCTGGTGTTAAATAAAACATGCAGGGTAATGAAGGAAAGCTAATGCATTTTAATTGCCATTTATGTTGGTGGTGATTATCAACACAGGTAAAACAAATATGAATGATCAAGCGTGTTCAAAAGGGACATGTAATTCACCTTTGTTGTTATAGTGCAGTGACAAACAGCTTCACATCTTCAAAAGAATACAGCATGCTAAGAGCATAAATGTATTTTCACCTGTTGCTTTTAAGCGCTTTGTAGAAAGAGGGTGGTAATAAAACTGAAATAAAATGCTTATATATTCCTTATTACTCTAAAGAAACCATCTTGTTTTGATACACCAAGACCACTCCTGACACACAATTATATACAACAGTTGAAAAAATTATACAAAATTTGACCTTTTTGTACTACAATATAAGTGACTATAATGACAGCTGTAGAGAAACAAAAAGTTTCCAAAGATAAACTGGATTTGTTAGGTACAGTATGAGTTTGAATATAATATTAATATTTGCTTTATTCTACAAATATTTGATAAAATGTCACCAATTTTATTAAAAAAAAAATGACATCTAGAAAATTTTCCACAGAAAATGATCAGAATAATGATTTTTTTATTGTTTTTTTTAATATATATATATATATATATATATATATATATATATATATATATATATATATATATATAATGTATAATAAATGCTTTAAAATAAATTTAAATGAAAATAAATTAAATGAACTTAAAAAATAAAATCTAGTAAAATCTAATTAAATCAAAATTAAAATAAGATAAACTAAATACATAGTATATTTTTTTATAATTTTAAATAATTGACATTTGTAAATAATATATCTAGATAAAAAATGTAATATTAAAAAAGTATCTACAAATATCTGATAAAAATTTATTAAAAAATATTAGCATCTAGAAAATTTTCCCCTAAAAATGACAGTTGATCAGAATAAAAAATACTTTTGTTAAAAAATATATAAAAAATATTATTTCAAATCATTAAAATTTGTAAATAATACATCTGAAAAAAAAAATGTTTTAACATTACTATCTTTTCTTATTTCCTTTAAAATAAGAACATGTCGGTCCAGTTTGGTTCCAATATGTGTTTTTTGAACATGATGTTAAAAGTGCAAATCTGGCCACATGAGCCGGTCCTAACAGTACAAAAGGACTTGAAACCATCTGTGACTTGAATTATAGTATAGCTGAATACTTCTGACCTACCTGTAGATAGTGAGGGCATGGAGTATGACATTTAAAGAGCTGGTCACCCGGCAAATCCACACAGAGTGTTCCAGGAGGACAGGTGGCGTTGGGAAGCCAACAGGAATTTATGTCAATCTCACAGTCAATCCCAGTGTATCCTGGAAAGGGAGGTGAGAAACACAAAGCAATCTAAAGAGTCGTTTACGCTCCAGTTTTCCTTGATTAAGAACTAAAAGCAATCTTGTGCAAAACTAGAATTTAAAAGATTAAACAAGACTGAAACGCCTTCACTGCTGTTAAAGCCTTTGAGAACGCACTGCATATATTCCTCATGTCATTATGCCTCAATCAATAAGGTCAATCAATGAACATGAAGCAAGCTGGAAATAAAATTTCTTTCTTTTTTTCCTCCTTTGTTTCTTGGAAAAAGAGAGTAAAAGAAAACAGCAATCAATTTTTGAAAGCCTATTCAGAGCCCAAAAGCCAGTCAGTCTAAGTGAAAAGAACAAAATTGTAAAGGTCAGAAGGAGGCCACACCAGTTTGTTTAAGGGCTTTTGGAGAGGAAGGAAATAATTGGGCTTACTTGCATTTAGTTTAGAATGAAAATCAATCATTTTCACATGCATTAACTTGAAGGCTTCAGCAGGAAGATCACACTCAAAAATGTTATAGACTGGGTCAGGATGACCATGTGTTATCGACAAGAGAGGTCAACTTCTGTATAGGAAAGATTACTTTTACGATTTTACGATTTTTTTATATTCAGCTTTCAGAAGCTTAAAACTATTACAATTTTGTTTTAAACAAATGTGATAGCCGGAAATTAAAGGGAAAGTTCAAACAAAATGAACATTTGCTGTAACTCAAATTTTATAGTTGCTATGATAACACAAAAACTAAAGTAATTTAAACAAATTACCCAATATACTATAGTAGCTGGCTCTTATTTCAGAGGTGGCATGCTCCGAAGGATGTATTCAAAGTGCGATGCATCATCGCGGCACACCAAAGGCCGTCTCATTTTGAAAAAAAACTCAAGCACAGAATCAAAATACATCTACGTGTGTTCATTCTCTGGGTGAATACTCATTACAACATCCAAATTTTGATTAATGTCTTTTCGTCCACCGATTAAAAAAGTGTTCCGTAATGAGTGCATAACTTCAATTCACTTGCAAAAATGGACATTGTTTTAAGTTTTATTAAAAACTAACATCAGAATATACTATTATTATGTTTGACTTGAAGTTAATGTTATATTTAATAACTCTTTTATGAAAGTTTAAAATGAAATAACTTCACAATCATTTAATTTTTATATCATGTTTAATTTATTACAGCATGACAATTTAAAATATTAAAACATTAAATTTATGCAAATTAACGCTAACTTGACTGACCTTTTATGAAAATAAACATTATCAAAGCACAAGGATTATCCAAAAGCGTTTGTAGCCTGTCTCTCAGGCTTTCTGTGGCGGAGACTAGCGCCATCCGTTCATCACCCACAACTGATGCTTAAATTTTAAAGCATTTATTCAACAAAAGATAATTTATTTAACAATTTGTGATAACATAATATTCACTTCGTAAAAACTGTAATACTGTGTGATGCATAAATTAAATGCATATTGTCGTTGCTATAAATGTCTCTCCTCCCAGGCGTCACTCACAGCTTAAAGGGTCACGAAACACCAAAACACATTTTTTGAGCTGTTGACGGTCGTATATGTGTCCCACACTGCTAAAAACACTATTAGGACACCTATATTTCACTAAGAAGTGTAAATTGGTTGTTTTTGCGTTATTTCAAGCAAATTCGTACTTCCGGTTTGAAACGAATTTTTGAAGCTGCGTCACAGCCATGACATAATAGCGTTGTACTCCGGCTTACAGACTGGACGTCTGTGCCATGTGTCTTATTACGTCTTACAGTGTGTTGCTTTAATGCATGAGTAAGGCTTGGTTCAAACCAATCAGTGCGCTCTATTATTATAACTTCATTAATATTCATAACTGTCATAGTGTTTAGACGGCAGAGACGCCACGTCGTGTTGGCAAAGCAAGCATGAAGTGTTGCTTTTATAGTTTGCTGCCGTTAAGTTTTGTTTTCATTTTCTCTCTGTGAGAGCGCAGCTGGCGTCACGTGTGGGTTAACAGTGTACGCGACGCGTGACAACAATAACTTACATGTCTAAGGAGGATTATTGTTTACCTGAGAGCTGTTCTCATCTGCAAACGCTGAGATCTGGATTCGCTTGTAGTCTCCTCTAAATAAAGACGCGGCTCTAGTTTAATTGCCATTTAATTGCCACAGATTTGGTAAGTGAGCGACCAGTGCTCTTTGTTTATTCAGTTCGTATTTTATTCGTATCAAACAAACTATTGTACCGAGTGTAAACAAGTTAGCACTACAACCAAACTATAACCTCGTGTTGGATTTTGTGAACAGAATAACACACGCGGCTTTCTGACACTACCTGTCGTGTGCATCTAAGTTTCCGGGAAATGCTGAGTTTTTTTTCTCTCATTCGCCGTGCGGTATCAAACATTGCATGAAAAATACACGCTTAGAGCAGTTCCTCGAATCAAATATCACGTTTGTCGCGAGGGACATGAATGAATATCTAAATGAAAGAGCCAAACTGCAGTTAAAGGCCACCATTTAATAATTTGGCAAATAATTCGACTACAGATGTCCATGTAAACACAGTCACTTTGTCCACTGTGGTTGTGTGTTTTGACTCTGAAATTCAGCGCGCCCAAATAGACACTCCCACACCAAGCCTCTTTTCTTCCTCCGACACTCCCCCCTAAACAGAGCTGGACAAGCCCACTTTTATTTTTCCAAAGTAGAGGTGTGAAAACACCCTGCTGAAACGAGGAGGTTTCATGGCCCTTTAACCTTGTGGACGTAGCAAACTTACTGATTTTTTTTTTTTACGAAAACATATAGTAGGAAGGTCTCTGTTGTGCTTGGGGTTGAAAGAGTGAGAAATAAAGATTACACAGATATATAGCTTGCCTACGACCCATAAGTATTTATACAGAGATTGACGTTAAAAGGTAATCTGTACGGAACATCGTTGTGTACGGAATATGGTTAGTCTACGTTACCAACGTTCTTGAAAATACCTTCAAAATAACTTTTATCTACTATTCCAAAATATGTCAACCACTTCACCATACCCACATAGCAAAATTTCTCTGGCCCAGCTCTGGCCCACACAATCAGGTTTTGCTTGGCCCACATGCCGCTGTGAATTACGGTACATGACTGGACCAAATCTGGCATCCAGACAAGGGCCAAACACAGACCATATCTGGGCAAAGTCTCAGCCAAGTTAATAACTCATAACTGGGCCTGAACTGGGCCAGAAAGGTTGGTGTGTCACGATTGCAATGAAATTAATAAACCTATGAAGCGTTGTGCTTTAGGTACACTATGGGCCTTGTTTTTTCTCAGTGACCTGATTGGTAGAATTGATTTATTTAATCAAAAATTATTTTTATATATTTTAAATGTGGGTCAAGACTGGCGAAACTCACGTGGCCCACAATCAATTTTTAAAAACTGGGCCAAATACTACGTTTTACATCTGGCCCAAATCTTGTGTGCCGCATTAAAGACGGTGCCACCTCTGCCAAACCCAGGCCATGGTTGGCCCACATGCTGTATGCCAGTGCCTGATGAATGCCTGATGTCCCAGCTTTATGCCAAATCTGGGCCAGAATTCTTTGCTGCTAGGGTAACTTACTCATGTTATTGTTTTTTTTTTATAAGAAAAGCATCATCTTCAGTCCATTTTTTAAGGAAGTCATTGAAATGATTTTGCCTTGTAGTATCTCTCTCTCTAACCGGCAAGTACGTGTGGGCAGGTTTCGGGAGGGGGCGTCTGGGACTCTGGGTCCTCTACTCATCGAGCGGAAGGGAGCAGCTGGCAGAAAAGCGTGCTTGTAACCTCGCCAGTGAGTTGCCAATCTCTAGGGTGAGCCATCAGGTTGCATCAGTGAATGCAAATCATGCCTCAGAAAGAGTGAGCACAACCAACAATTACGGGAGGGAACCATATCAATGCAGTGGCCTCAAAAGGGAAGAGCATTTCATAGCACAATATTGACACAATTCTGCAGTACTAATGAGCTCTGGCAGTGTGAGAACGGGAGTGATTTGCTCAGCTGTCAGTCAGAGCTGCTGGCGCTGGCACGGTGGGGATTTGTGGCACAGTAAAAAAAAAAAAAAAAAAAAAAAACGAAGCTCATTCTCTGGTGTAAGAGAAACTCATACCTGAAGGACAGGTGCATTTGTAGTATCCAACAAAGTCAGTGCATGTTCCTTGGTGCTGGCAGGGACTGGAATCGCACTCATTTACTTCAGCTTCACAGTAGGGTCCTGCAGGAAGACAGGGGTGTGAATGGAGTGTTAGTTAAGCTTTTACGCTCCGGCTCACCAGAAGATATGGACTTCACTTTTGACATTCGGGATTTAGAGCAAATTTGGTAACAGCCACCAAACCCTTATCCACCTATGGTTTACTTTTTTGGTGCATGTGTCAGAGAAAACAGGTCAACACTTTATCCAACAATAAAACTTATTCAGCAAGAGTTTAAAGGAGCAAAAGTTCAGACTGTTGATACCGACAGTGACAAAACATAAAGAAATAAGAGAGATGCTTATGACTATCTGTCTAAGTAAGTAGCCTAAGAATATACAGAAATAATAAAAAAACACCCTTAAAATTGCAAAATGTGACTAATGCGTACAGAAAATCATTCATAAATTAATCAGTCAATAAAATAATGGTTGAAAGAAGTCATAATGTACTTGTGCTTTATATTACAAAATAAATTAAATTTATTGTTAACGTTTTTACTGTACATTTCTTAATTTTTTGTTTCAAGTAATAATCCAATTTACACTCACTGGCCACATTATTAAGTACACCTTACTAGTACCGGCTTGAACCCTCTTTTGCCTTCAGAACTGCCTTAACCCTTCATGGCATAGATTTAACAAGGTACTGGAAATATATTTCTCAGAGATTTTGGTCCATATTGACATGATAGCATCACGAATCTTCCGTTCCACCACTACCCAAAGGTGCTTTATTGAATTGAGATCTGATGCCTGTGGAGGCCACTTGAGTACAGTGAACATATTTTCATGTTCAAGAACCCAGTCTGAGATGATTCACGCTTTATGACATGGTGCGTCATCCTGCTGGAAGTAGCAATTCGCCTCAAGGTTCACCGTGTTGTGTGTTCAGAGATGCTCTTCTGCATACCTCGGTTGTAATGAGTGGTTATTGGAGTTGCTGTTGCCTTTCCATCAGCTCGAACCAGTCTGGCCATTCTCCTCTGACCTCTGGCATCGACAAGGCATTTGTACCTACAGAACTGCCGCTCACTAGATATTTTCTCTTTTTTGGACATTCTCTGTAAAACCTAGAGATGGCTGTGCAAGAGAATCCCAGTAGATTAGCAGTTTCTGAAATACTCAGACCAGCCTGTTAGGCACCGACAACAATTCCACATTTAAAATCCCCTTTCTGCACGATTTTGATGCTCGGTTTGAACTGCAGTAGATCGTCTTAACCATGTCGACACGCCTAAATGCATTGAGTTGCTGCCATGTGATTGGCTGATTAGAAATTTGCATTAATTGTAACAGTAACAGTTGGACAGATGTATCTTAAAAAATGGCCAGTAAGTGTATAGTCAATGTACAATCACACCCAAATAAAAAAAAAGCAGAAAGATAACGTCACTATCCTACTTACACAAAAGAAAAATGGCTTAATGTTAAGGTACAATTCCCAAATAGGTTTGTTTTATTAAAATGTTTATGGTGCTTTTAGGTTTTTTTCCCCCCAGATAAAAGTAATTGTGGTTTACAATTTATTTTAGGAACTGTTTTAGTGAACAACTCAAGAACACACTAAAAAAAAAAAAAAGTACATGGTGGTACAAATATTGTTCCTTAAGGAAGAGTTTTGTACCTTTGTAAAAATTGTACCTTATATGGTACAGAATAGATCTCTTATGATAATGTTGTGTGCTTTTTATGGTACAACTGAAAAGAAGGTACACAATTGTTCTCATAATAAAGGTACATAAGTGTTGAACAACTCCTCCTTCATTACAATATCTATGAAAATAAATATGACTGGAAAAGCAAAGTAATTTATGAATAATTTCCATATTAAAACAAGAATCATCATTTAAAAGCATGTTTAAAGAAATTTATAAACATTAATTATTAAGTTCTATAATACAACAATATAAAACATCAGATTAAAAAACAACAGGTATTGTAAACTAAACATTGAAGGCTTTTTAAATAAATGTTTGGTAAGCAGTTTTGACACTGTTAAGGTATAGAGTGTCTTGTCACTGTGTTGGTACCTTTATGGATCAGATTAGTACCTTTTATGAAGGTACAATATTGTATCTGCAGGTTTTAAAACCCAAAGATACATTTTGGTTTTACCATGGTACAAATCATGTCAAATCATGTACAATTCTGTTCCATGAAAAGGTACTGCCCCAGTGAACTTTTTTTTTTTTTTTTCTGTGAGTTAAACAAAGTCTAAATGAATAAATAAATGAATGAATAAAAACAGTATATGGGAGTATCATATATATATATATATATATATATATATATATATATATATATATATATATATATATATATATATATATATATATATATATATATTATATATTATATATTTTTTATTTTATTTATATTTTTATTAAGTCAAGAATTGATTTAAAAGTTGTATTTTCACCTGATTAGCAAATCAATGTCCAATGGTGTTCATCCAAACACTTTTCAATAACTGTATCATTAATAAATAAAACCAAATTTTTGACATGGAAAAGGGAAATGTTGAATGTCTTATCCAGTGCAAGATCTGCTTCAATATATCTTTTTTTGCTGCTGTGGAAAAAGTCACATTATCTTCCCTTAACATGTCGTCTGGCTTTTGGAGGAAGATCATAATGAAAGCGCTTGACATTTCACACTGGCCTTCTGGCAAACCCATGGTGAGAAATGGGACAGGGACGGTCGTTTTTACGTCTCTGGGGTCATTAATCGATGGCGATACCACTAGCATCATCGAGACATCTAAATAAAACATTGAGCTTTGAGCTGTGACATGTTTTCTACTAATAGTATTCCAATCCATTATACAGCTCGCACACAAGCAGATATCGCCAGGTGCCTTGCTGACAATTGGGATGTGGAAAGATGGATTTCTTCATCTGCTAAGAAGTGAAATAGAGCCATCAAGGAGACTGAGAGGTGATAACAAGGACACAGAAAAAAAGGCATTGGCGATTATCCCGCTGGCAATATGAGATCCGATGTGTAACACTAAAAAAATCTCTAAAGGAACAATACGGGTTCACACCACCTTATACTTTATAGGTGTCATGAAATGCAGATCATCTATAATTCATGTAAAGTGCCAATAAAAGACATCACGTTTTCTTACGCAAGAGCTCTGAACAGCAATGCATGCCATCGAGATCAGTGTGTTATTGACTGATGAAATCCATAAAATCATTTCTGATTTGCTTATTTGTTTATGAGTTGTTTGGGCAAATAGTTCCTCCTGCGCTCAAGCGCTGATAGCCAAGCTAATGAAAGATCTTGCTTTCCCGGTTAGATTTACCGATTAAGTGTTCTCTAACCTCTATTTGCCCTTCATTTTGCAGGCATGATGAAACAAATTACGGAATAATCCAGTTAGGAGGGCAATGTGCAAAGATGAGTTACGGTAAAGAGATGCCTCGGGGCAGCGGGACTCGTCTCGGTGGAACACACACTCTGAGTCACATTACGGCAGATGATATAGATGTTGGACATGAAACTGTGTCATTCAGGCTAGGGCAAAATTCAGAACGGGCTGCTTTTCAAATACACGAGTTGGCATTTGAATAAAACTGGTCATGCACTACAAGATTCTATATGACAGGAAGAGTAATTTACTCAGCCGCGATTCCAAGAATTGGCTTAAAACTAATTTGCCAAAAAAACTAATTATGCTATTAATTTTGACTGTTATTTCCTGAAAGGTGGAAAATAGGTTTCTCTCTATGAATTAGCCAGTTAAAGAGGATCCATTAAAAAAAGAAAAAAAAGAGGAATGAATGAATGACCTTCTAAAAACAGTCCCAGTGAAAAGTTTGGAATCAGTAATTGTGCGTGTGTTTTTGTGAGTTAAAAATAATGCATGATTTTAGCCCTGATTTTAGCTCAGCGACAGGTTTTGAGAAATCTCTAACCAATACCCGAAATCACAGGCAAATCGGTCTTCATTCATGTGAGTAACAATCAGTGTGAACAATCAAAGATGTGATATGAGAGAATCGCAAACACCCGTGAAATATTTTCCATGCTAAATATCTGGACCTGTCAGAGATTCAAAATCATGTCGTGTGAAATGTGTCTTGATTGAAAATAACAAACGCTTATTAAATACAGCCAATGAGTGAGCAGCATCCACTAGTATAGGATTCTGCAGGCCAGCTGGAAGTTGTGGGAGAATTTAAAAGGGTTTCTTTTCAGTCTTTTTGGACCTAAGAAATGAAGAAAAAACTAGTGGAAATTTGGCAGGAGCACCTGTGTCTGTTTGACGTGTCATCTGAGCAATAGGTACCACAACCGGGACAAAAAAGAAAAAAAAGTTGAAGAGAAATTGCTAATTCCGTTCAAAACCCAGGTGACCAAATACATTGTCTGTCCCACTACGTGAAGTTTTTTTTTTTTTTTTTATGAGAGGATCACACGCTTATGATTGCTTGCGGCTGGTCCCGCATTATTCAATTATGATTCACCAATCAGGCAATTCCTAAGCCACTATAAATATACTAAGTTCCATCTAACAGCCATCTTCGTTTTGATGAATCCCCCCCTTTCACCCCTACTCCTCCTCCTTTCCTATATGGGAGCTCAGGGGAGTTCTCTTGAGCTCAAACTCCCCTCTTGCATTGCAAATGGGAGGGAGCCCTGGGCTCAAGGATCTTATGAGCTCAGGGCTCTCTTCCGGGACAGCATGCCAAATAAGCTTTATAATCAATCATCAGCTAAGTGTAAACTCCTGAAAGGCTTCTTTCACATTATGTAGTTAAAATGATATACTGTTTAAAGATATACTACGTGACCTCACATTGTTTATGTCACTTCTTGCGTGTGTTTGGGTGTGAGACGTACAATGCGGACAGAGACAAAGTTGTCAGCCATTCTTCATATTGTAATGTCATGCAGTGTAAAAGTTCCTGTCGCTGTCGCATCTTGCATTGTGAACACAGCAGCGACAGAATGCTACCCCAGATCATGCAGTGTGAAAACATCTGTGACGCAACTACTTTGAAAATAATTTAGTCTGAACTCATAAGCCGCTACTCCATTTCTTTGATTGAATACAACAGTAATATTATGAAATATTATTTATATTTAAATCATCTGTTTTACATTGTCATTTAGTCAATGGACTCAAAATGGAAAGTTCAGCATCATCACTCCAGTGTTCAGTGTCATAATGCTTCAAGAGGCTTCAGAAATAATTCTGATTAGCAGTTTTGCCGGTTTATTATTAGTACTTTTTTGACCCTTTAACCTTTTTAATCAATTTATTTGGTTTAGTTGTGTTCCTGATACTAAGCAAATTTTGAGTTCCAATGATAACACATGGACAAAAGGTCAACCAGACAGTTACAATGCCAGTTAAAGGGTCAAAAATGGACCAAAAAGAAGTTTATTTTTCTGATTTATACATTTATAACAGCATTTATTAGAAATAATTGTAACATAATACATGTTTTAAATATCAAGCTTAATCAATTTCATTGGTGTTCTAAAACATTAAAAGTGTTTTAAAAAGGAAATACATATTTTTGAATGGTAATTATATGAAAATAATCGGAAATCATTCTTACACCTACCTGTTCTACCTACACAATGTGGTGCCACGACACAATAAAAGTTATATAAGTTTTGTCCTAATTTTCTGCAACAGCGACACACAAAATGTCTATTTCCACAATGTCGCAGCAAAACAACAGCATAACTAAGACATTTATCTCCTCAGGTACAGATTATGTGCTTTATTCAGTGAATGCTTTATTCTAAAATGCTATCAAAATTGGTACAAGTTTGATTACCATTTTTTGTGGCATTTATTGCCATACTTCTGAAAGCAGCAGCAGATAGTTTACCTCAGATCGTGAAAAATAAAATAGCAAAAGGTTTGAAAATGTAATTCAGAACTGTTAAAACATCAGTCACTCATATAGCCACCCTATAAACTTTTAATAAATGTTAAATATGTCAAATATGCATTAATTTGATTCTAGCCCTTACCATTTCTTTGGGAGTGCATTGGCTGATATTTAAATGAATAGATGGTATTTAAATGTTTATGCCGTGTTGCATCATGCTTAGGACAGACAGACAAATTGCTTGTTGTTGTTGTTGTTGTAGTTAGGACAAGTCAAGCAGCAAATCAGCATAGTGGAACATTTCCCAAGGATTATTTGACACTGAGGACCAAAGTGATGATGTTGAAAGTAATAAAAAGAAAAAATAATAATGTACAGTTGAATTCAGAATTATTAGCCCCTGTTTATTTTTCCCCAATTTCTGTTTAACAGAGAGAAGATTTTATCAACACATAATAGTTTTAATAACTCCTTTCTAATAACTGATTTATTTTATCTTTGCCATGATGACAGTAAATAATATTTGACTAGATATTTTCAAGACACTTCTATACAGCTTAAAAAGACATTTTAATGCTTAGCTAGGACAATTAGGTTAACTACGCCGGTTAGGGTAACTAGGCAAGTTATTGTATAATGATGGTTTGTTCTGTAGACTAGAGGAAAAAAAATAGCTTAAAGGGGCTAATAATTTTTACCTTAAAATTGTTTTTGAAAAAATTAAAAACTACTTTTATTCTAGCCAAAATAAAACAAATAAGACTTTCTTCAGTAGAAAAAAAAATATTATCAGACATATTGTGAAAATGTCCTTACTCATTTAAACATCTTTTGGGAAATATTTAAATATATATTTTTAAATTAATTGAAGGGAAGGCTAACAATTCTAACTTCATATATATATATATATATATATATATATATATATATATATATATATATATATATATATATATATATATATATATAGATGCATATACTAAATACTGCATATATAAATAATAGCATATTACATATAGAAAAGTTATTTTAAACAGAAAATAGATTTCACAAAATTATTGTTTCTTTATCAAATAAAAGAGTCCAAGATAATTTTCTCAACAACAACAACAAAAAAAAAACATATCGATCCCAAACTTTTGATCAGCATTGTAGATTTTAACTTAGTTTTTGTAATGCCCACACTGTTATGTGTATATATTATAGAAAAAAAAATGTGTGAAAATAAATATTAACACTCATTTACAGCGCACCGCATAAATGACTACACCCCATTTAAAAAAATATATATATTTTTATCCATTCTTGAATGTAGATTTTTGTGCATTAAAAAAAACAGGTATTCAAACAGATGTATTTATAAAATTAATATTTATAATATTTAAGTCATTAAACACATTTATATATAAAAAGATTATACATTTAAAAACTCATGCAAAATATAGCAAAAATATTACAAACTACCATTTTTTTCCATTCTCTTGATTTTTCCTCTATTTAAAAGTTGTATTCAATATTTTTCCCTAAAACCTAAATTTGGCTGTACTCATTTTTTTTTTCCGTTATTGTAAGTTGTTTTTTTTTAGATTAGCTCCATGCAGCTTTGGCTTCTGTAGCCAAATTAAATTCAGATTAAGCTAATGCATATGCACAAATATTGTCTGGAATTCTATATAAAATATTAATTTAAAAGACAGATTTGTGAGGGGTGTTCTTATTTATGCTGAGCACTTTATAGTCGTTACATTTGTGATAATGAACCATTCTTATTAAGTGCACTATAATGACTGATAATAAAATAGAATAATTTAAATATTGATAACTATATTTGAGTCAATTTGTACTTATTCTCCTTAGGTTTCTGTTTTTTTTTTACTATATATAGAGAAAACAGAAAGCTCAGAAAACAAGTACATCTGGTAGCAGACAGAAATATGTTCTATGCAATATTCAGCATGTCACGGATAAAGCTGATATTTAAGATAACATTCTCTGCTCTCCAGCATTGCATGAAAACGTGACAATAATTCTGCTCTCCAACTCTACTGCAAAAAATAAATAAATAAATAAATAAAACCCAAGTATAGCTTTAAAAAGCATCTTCTTCCAAAGCCCAGCGCAAACTTAAACATAAATCAGGAAAACATATTGTAGAGTTTGTTGATATAGTTTTCTTTTAACCTGTGTATCCAGGGAGACAGGTGCACATATAATGCGGGGGTGCAGTCGTCTGACTCATACTGATGCAAGTAGCTCCGTTCAAGCATCTGTTTGGATAGGCTAAGCATGCGTTCTCCAAGTACTGACAAAACTCCCCCGTCCATCCTGGTGCACAGAGACACTGCAGGGGGGAAAGAAAGAAAAAACCAAAACAAAACAATGATCTAGCAATTAACCCTAATTATTAGAAAAATCTATCAGCAACATACTAAACGCACCTAACAATCACATGCGTTTATAATTTCAACTCCTGCTGTTCCTGCGGTTTCTTTAAGAGTGTTTTCAAGCTTTTGATGAAAAGGTAATTACACTTTTTAATCCCCTGTGTTGCTGCCTACAAAGTAAAGTTCTACTAAACATCCTTAAATCAAAAATCTTAGCCAATTAATTCCTTGGTGATTCTAAGAATCATTACTCCGAAGGCAATTATGGAGTTTAAGAAGATTAAGGGGGAAAGGAAGTTTAAGAAAAGACTAAATGTTGCTGATGACCAACATATTTTTTTTTTTCACCAATTTGCTAATGAAGAAATGTGGCCTGTTTCCTGGACTATGTCAACGTTTTAATTAAGGATGACAGTGATGGGAAATTAAACAACCAGATGTCTCTAAACAGCATGTTAACCAAATAAGCTGAGCTCTCAGAATAACGGATGTTTACATTTAGAATAGAAACTTTAGCAGAGAGATAAAAAAAAAAAAAACTACTCTAAAATTCCAGTGTGCAACAGTAGCTGTGCAGTTTTCAAACTTCAGGTTATTTAAAAGAAAAGCAAATATATTTTCAGCCGTAAAGTCTTCAAGAAAACATTTTTAGCTCAGCTCACTGTAACATAACACAGCAAAGTTTCATTTCATCTTTCAGAGTTAATGCTGACACACTCAAAAACTATTTTCCTTCATTCAAAGAAGGTATATATATATATATATATATATATATATATATATATATATATATATATATATATATATATATATATATATATATATATATGAGCATATATTATTTTCTGGCTCCATTTTCTTTTTCATTGTATACCTATAAAATACACATTTAAATATTCATATTGGTTTCTCAGTACTGGGTTGCAGGCGGAAAGGCCATATGCCAGAGTATAGTTGAGGGTTCAATCCACTGTGCCGACCCCCGAAAAATCAGGCACTAAGCTGATGGAAAATCAATTAATGAATATTTCTGTTAGCAACATTGTTGGACCATGAATGAAAACAATGAAAATATTATATATATATATATATTTATAGAGTTGCATCCAGACGTTTACATACAAAAATATAAAAAGGGCGGGGTTAATATATTTTATTAAACTATTATCATTTATTAAACTATTAGAATTATCATATTTTATCCATAACCTGCAGAATAGAAACATGGTTTTTAACTTATTATATATATATATATATATATATACTTAATATTTAATAGTTACAAGAAAACATAAGCCTTTCAATTTTTTTTTTAAATTATTGATTGTGACCCCTGGGGTTATTATGCTAGATTAACATCACAGCAATAGCGTTAGTTGCAGCAGATTGTTTTTATGGTACAATGTTAAACGTTGACACCTTTATGGCACTCACATACGTTAAAAATAAAGACCACAGCTGAACAAGGAGAACGATCTCCAAGTGGCTCCAAGTCTCCAAAATGAAACCAAGAATAGTCTTGTGTTATAAACATTGTGCTCAACATTCTTATTAAGTGAAAATAATATTAAATATAACAAATGAATAATGGTTATAAAAAAATAGATGGTTGTTACACTGTCACACTTTTTTGTGTCATCATTAAGCTTGTTTATATAGTTCCTATTGTTGTGTGTGCACCATTGTGTGCGATATTTGTATGCTTATAACCACCTCCGAGCATAGAAGGGGGAGCGAGTCACATGGACGTGACGCACAGAACCGTCAAGATTTTTTACACTCTGTTGAAGTCTGTGAAAAAAACACACCTGAGCAATGCATGTGACTTCATTCTTCACATGAGAGTCATCTTTAGGTTGCTGCTAAGCGGCTTGCACTGCCTTTCTATCCATCCCTTTCTTCATGTGTTCAATACTTTTTCCTGTGTGATTTTATTTTATAAAACATAACTTTATTTATAAACCTTTTAGGTGAACTGTTAATCCAGGATCAATCATAGGTCATTCAACTCAACCTCACTTGAGAAATATTTTACAGTACGTCAAAATGGCACATATTTTACATGACTCTGACAGATCTTTTTTGATAGATCAATTTCGATTGTTTAACAAACTGCGTAAATCAATTCATATGAAGCTCATACTTTAGAGCACTTGATAACAGAAACAGATGCGACTTCATCAGCTGACAGTAATAGAACTGTGACACATCAGTCAAAGCGCAGATCTGTTGATGGGAGTGACGGAAAGATGATATTGAAATAGAAGAGGATGGTTAAAACCTTGAGACACAAGCATAAATCAAGGATGCTATAATGGGACTGTGAGGCTGAGAACTCTTAGAAATTAATATATGTGCATTAGCCGCTGGGGCGGGGAAAATTTTCGGTGGGATGTTGGGATGATTATTTGTCATGTCATGGCTGTATTTGCATTGCTATTTTGGGTGGGAAATCAAAGGGAACGCAATCTGACTACCATATATGGGTCAAAGCCAAAAACAGATTTTTGCCTCATAAATTAGAAAGTGTCTAATTCCTTTTTTTCATGATTTTATTGTGGTCATCTGAAGATGTTTTCAGGATAATGAAGATCCTCTAAATGACAGTTCTATTAAAAACTTGAAAAAAAAGGCATCTGTGCTTCATCAGTACAAAAGTTCAATTTCCTTAAAGTATGTATACTGATATTTTTTCCTCAATAACGTTCCAAAAAACGCTATGTTTTCAAACATTTATATACATTTTTAAAGAACACAACCCCAATGTTTTAACTTCAGAAGAGAAATTAAACAAATAAATAAACAAAATTTTGATATTTTATTTGACAGAAAGACAGACAAATTTCCCCCAAAAATATTTAATTTTCCTTCAGTTTAATCTCTCATTTATAAGAGGTCACCACAGCGGAATGAATCACCAAATATTCCAGCATATGTTTTACTCAGCAGATGCCCCAGCAAGCATTTTTTAAAAATTTTTTATAAGATTTCTAATAGATGTCTAGACAGTCGTCTTGGCTAAAACAAGGCTAAATTTGGGCTGTCAGTGAAAATCTAATAGACATTTAAGAATAGGTCAAAACTAGACTAGTCATCAAATATTTAGAAATGAAGTACTACACATATAAAGTCTGTCTAATCTGTCTACTTGATGACTAGTCTAGCTTTGGGCTATTCTTAGTAGTCTATAGACTGATTTCACGCGGGCGCCATTTAAAAAGCGAAATTGAGGCTGCAGTAGGAAGAAACCCAGATGTATTGCCTGAGTCACAGGAATGTTCTGTACCTGGCTATATATCTTATCAGAGAAGAAAAAGTAACACAAATGTATCATTTCACTGCCTGCCGAGTAACTCGAAGGTCCATTCTGAATGGATAGTGAAAATAAAAAGGGATATCAAACCTCACTTTTAGCTAAGTTTAAGGAAATTGCACTAGTTAGCTCACGTTTTCTTTCCCAAACACACGTTTTAGATGCCATTTACTCAAGATAATAAACTGATTATTCAACTTTATAAGATCTCTCATGACACTAAAATTTATGACACTGATACTGAAATTGTCAATTTCTCACTAACATTTTAGCACTCTTGAACACAACACCGCTAAATTGCCATAGTATTCATCAGTCCTCAATGACTCAAAAGACTGTGATTGGCCGTTTGTGTTTGCACAGTTTTTACAGTCATTGGTGTGTACTGTAAGCAGTGAACTATCACGACCAATCACAGTCATTTCTGTTGAACACTGGTGAATAATATGACAAATCAAGAACACACTCAGCGGCGCTTAAATGTTTTTTTTTTAAACTTCAATAGACAACACTATTAAAGACAACAGGAGGATGTGTGATACAGATGACTGCATTGTTTTATCGTTCACTGGGTTACATAGGCTAAAGCAGGAAGACGTCCTCCCTGTGTTTATCTGGTGCCAAAAACTAAAGTGTATTACTCTTAAAGAGAGTGTGATTTTGTTTGATGCCTATTATGGTTTTGTTTAAGTTAAACTTAACTGAGTGATTCTAAAGTGATGTTTACACCATATCTGAACTTTAAAATCACGGCAACAGCTGGAAGTTTGTAGTCCACAGCATACTGTTGCAATGTTTACAGTGCAGATCTTATACTTTCAGGTTTCATCCCACCGCAGCCTCGCTTTCGTGCTTTAAAATGGCAGATGCGTGAAATAATTTTAATTATTTAACAGGCACAATGATCTTTAATCAACAGTAGAACTGTAAATAAACCAGAGCTAGCCACAAGAGCTAATTTTCATCTGCCAGATTTTAAAAGGCAACCCAAAATCAAAAACCACATCATCACAAATACAATACCAGTAAAGTTACATACGGCAAAAGGATAAATAAGTATAATTTCCTAAAATAATAATTTCTTAAATAATAAGGATTTTTTAAAATGCTAGACAAAAGAATGATACATGGTTACAAACTTGATTTGCTTTTAGCCATTTCTTTAACTTGTATTTAAATGTTGAATAATTTGTAACACCCCTCAAATCAATAGGAAGTGTGTTCCAGAAATGACTGGCTCTAACTGAAAGTCTGACCATGCAAAAGTTGTACGCCTAAACTGCACAGCACAGTCTCCTCTGGTAATATAATGTGTTCCTTGACAATTATTATCATTCTTCTTGTGTGTCGAAAACTCGCATAATGGAGGTGGAGCATATCCATTCAAATTTTGAACATCATACAAGCATCAGCCAAATATTTCATATTATCAAAGCTTAATAAATAGTATTTTTGTATTATATTGCAATGATGACACCTAATAAATTTCTGATCAAACACTTTAAGTGTCTGTTTATAAAGTGATTCAACCTATTTTTAAAACTGGTGTGTGACCAATTAGTAAGACAATATGTAATATGAGAAAAAATCATAGAGAGTATAAAAGGTTTTGCTGCTTCACAAGTCAAGTAAGGTCGCATATGCCTGAAGTTGGCCAGATTAAATTTAACAATTTTAGTGACCTTCTTGGCATGCTTTTGGAATGTCAATTGTGAATCTAAAATTAGACCTAAATATTTAAAATCGAAGACAACCTTGAGTTTTTCCCCTTTAACAAATACATCAGGATGATGGGTAACTGTCAATGATTGTGAGAAAAACATACAAACTGTTTTACTTATATTCAAATTAAGATATAAATCATACAACCAATCAGAGACATGAACCAATGCCACGGTTAAATAAGTGTATTAGATTTTCACTGACAGGCCAAGTTTAGCCTTGTTTTAGCCAAGCTGTCTATTTTTAATGTCTATTAGATGTCTATTAAATACAAAATGGTTCGCTGGGGGCCTTCCAGCTGCAATTAAGTACTGGGAAACACCCCTACACACTCATTCACACATTCTTACACTATGGCCGATTTAGTTTTTTTCAATTCACTTATAGGCAAGTTTATTTATAAAGCAAATTTCGTAAACAGTGGTAATTCAAACTGCTTTACATCAACAGGAATAAAAGAAGTAAAAGTAAATAAAATAAAAATAAATAATAAAAATGATTAAAAACAGATTAAAATGTGTTAAAAAAGGTTATAAAAAATGAAAAAGAAGAGAAAAACATAATAGTCTGATCTGTTGGATGTAGCACAGAGATCATTTAATAAAGGCACAGCTAAACAGATGTGTTTTTAGTCTTGAGTTGAATGTATCTAATGTTGGAGCACATCTAATCATTTCTGAAAGCTGATTGCAGAAGCCAGGGGCATAGTAGCTGAAGGCCGATTCCCCCTGCTTTGACTGATCTCCTGGAATTTCAAGTTTATATGATCCTAAATATCTGAGTGATCTGTTTGGTTTGTATTCAGTGAGCATATCTGTAATGTATTAAGGTCCCGGGCCATTTAGTGATTTATAGACAAGTAGTAATACTTTAAAATATATTCTGAATGTAATATATAATTATAGCATATGTCTTTTGAAGGAAACCCACACAAAGACAGGGAGAACATGTAAGCTTCACACAGAAATGCCAAACTGGCCCAGCCGGGACTCAAACCAGCTGTTATCATACATAATATTAACCATCGCAAAAATTAGGTTACTTACATTATATCCTCCAACTCGGTTGAGACACAGTCCCTCATTCAGGCAGTTAATATTGAGCAGCTTGCAGAAGTCAATTATTTCTTCACAGTTCTTCCCAGAAAAACCTTGCCGGCATCTACAAGTACATGACATTTAACTTTAGCCACGTATGAAAAAAAATTGATTGCTAAAAAAAGGTCCAACAGTAACCACCAGCATTGGATATGATTAAATGCAGACACTACTGCTGTTTTTACATGCCACTCATGTGTCATAAAGACATTTTTTGGAGTATTACAGGATCCTTAAAGTTAATGCATGTCAAGAATGTCTGTTAAAACTTCAACCTCTAGCACATATGCTTAAAAAATAATAATCCTCTTGTTTCCTTGACCTTAGTTAGATCTCTGCCTTCCTTCTGCTATGATAAGACTTCAATGATATTATTCTGTCGCACAAAGGCAAGACCACTCAATTATTAACACAGACTCCCAGGTGACCAACTGCTATTGCTTTTATCTGCCCTTCTCTTTACACACACACACACACACACACACACACACACACACACACACACACACACACACACACACACACACACACATTTCTCAATTCATAATTAAATTTTCCCTTCACAATCCCTATCTTATCTTGTTTGTCATTAGTCAGAAGGGCCATCAAATGTATCGATTCAAGTGATCTTTGTTAATAATAACAATATAAAATTTAGAAAGATGAACAGAAGCAAAAGAAGTCATAGCTGTGAATCCGCTTTATAAAAAAGGCAAAACTCATGATGACTCGGATTCCCTCATTATCAGCAGGAAGCAAAAATCTGTCACAGGCTTAATGTTCAACCTCACAATTCGAAAGAAAATGGAAAAAAATCTCCTTTTATACAGACATTCCTATCACTGGCCTGTGTAATCAGTATAATGAGAAAAAAAGTACAACTGCAGCAAGCATAAGGTCCAATATAGATAAGATATAAGCTAATAAACTCATTTTTACAAGATTTTTTTTTATTAATGGACAATTATGTAATGTTAGTTAACATATTTACTAACATTAAGTATGACTAATCTTATAAAGCGTTGACTAATGTATTATTAAAATCCAATGGTATGCTTGTTAACAATAGTTAATGCACTGAGTTAAAAGCAACGGACATCATTCAACTTAACAATAACTTAGATGAATTAGTACCATAATAAATGAAAAATTGTATTGTAATGTGTATTTATATAGCGCATTTATTGTGTATGGCCTTACACTCAAAGCGCTTCACATTCATAAGGGGGGATTCTCTACACCACCACCAGTGTGCAGCATCCACTTGGATGATGCAACGGCAGCCACAGGACAACGGCGCCAGTGTGCTTACCACAAACCAGCTATATTGGGAGAGTGAAAAGACAGTGATAGAGTCAATTCGGTGGATAGGGATGATTGGGAGGCCATAGTTGTAAGTGGCGATTGAGAGACTTTGGCCAGGACACATGGGTTACACCCCTACTCCTTACGAGAAATGCCATGGGATTTTCAAAAATCACAGATAGTCAGGATCTTGGTTTAAAGTCTCATCCAAACGACGGCGCCCACTGACAGATTAGTGTCCCCTTCACTTTCTACTGGGGCATTAGGACTCACACAGACCACAGGTTGAGCGCCCCCAGCTGGCCTCACTAACACCATTTTAATTGTTTATATTAGTTGATACATTAATTACATTAATGAACTATAGTATTAAAGTGTTTCCATTTATTTTTCTAAACCCGTTTACAAAAAGAACAAGATGTGTAAAAAAATTACCTTATATTTACAGGCTTATAATTACAGGCTTATAATTGCATTACTTTTACAGTAAGGTACTGTATGTAAGTTCACAGTAAATTACTGTGAGATGCTTCATAATTATTCTGTAAACATTTTTAAATATCAAAAAGTGCCTGTATTAGCATAAAAGTTGGTGTATAAATTTTTGTTGAATACAATATTAATAGTTTGAATTTCTATAATCAATGTGCAAAAGATATAGCCATTTTACAGTAAATTGCTGTAATTATGATGCCTTCCTTAATGTCACAATAAAATTCTGAATATGTAAAACTTAACAGTTAAACCTTGTAAAGTGACAACAATGTAGTTTACTTTGAAAAATTACAGTAACGTTGTGAAATTCTGGGAATGTATTACAGTGTGTATAGCAGACAGTGGGGTTGGGCGGTGTCGACCAATATGGCATCATACAATGTCTAATGTGAAACATTGTGATAGACGATGGCATCATCGTTGTAGGCAGCGGTGAATTCATTATTTATGAATAATTAATTAATTTATACCAAATTAATTATTGTAGCCTACCGTTTTAACTTCCTGACTCGTATGGTCTTTGTTTTACCCATAACCAAATCATAAATAAATTAAGATAAGTTACACACAAATTACCACCTGTTAATCCCTTTTATTCGCAGGACTCTGGCATGACTAGGCAGAGTGATCTGTGTCACTATAATGGCATTGACAAACTTGGTTGGTAAAAAAGGTGCACAATCAAAAGTAACCAACCAAAGTATCTGAGGTTTTCAGTAAAATGTCAAGCGTTGTGATGTCTGTTGGCCATTGACGTTGGACGATGGCATCGTCTATCAACCCAACCCTAGTAGACAGCTTTTTTTTTTTTTTAACGGCAGAAACAAAGATCATTCTTTTCATTTACATTCACAAATTACAATTCAGAAGTACTTGTTTGTTTTTTACAGTGAAAAGCTCTTCTAAAGCATTTGCTTGCAGCACCACAGTCAGTGGTTGGCACGAATCAAAACTCTTATGGCCAGCAGCACACATCTGAAGAGGATTAACCAGCAGAAATAATCTATAAATTATCCAATTTTTTTCGTATTTGGCTGATAGCAAAGCATTGAATATTAGCATTGATCTGCTGATACCAAATGGCGGCCAAAATTCAGTAGATCAAAGTTGTCCTAAAACTATTGAACAACATTCATTGCTGTTTTAGGAGAATTTTGAAAAACATTTTTGATTCACTTCAAATGTTGACTACTGTTTTGTTTCTCAAACACGGTACCAGAGGACCACCTACACTGCATGTTTTGGATGGCTACTCTTTCTGTCCCTCCCATCACAGGTCCTTCAGTCTCTGTTAATGAGCTGATGATCTGAGTCAAGAGTGTTAAGGCGACATGGAAAATGCGCAGAGATGGTGGTCCTCCAGGACCTTGGTTGAGAAACACAAGACTACTGTAATTTACTGTGCATGACCTTGCTGGCCACCGAGTAACTCACAGATCACTTCTGCAGAACGTCAAAACACTCGACTGCTTTGTTTAGATTTTAGTAACAATAACTTTGACTTTTATCCAGTTTGTGGTTTCATTGTAAAGTTTCACAAGCTAATTTAGAGAGGAGCACGTGATATGACTGATCGCAGCTGGTCTCTTATCTATAATCACTAGTTAGCTAATCAGATTAATCCAAAAACTCACTATAAGTAGCCCGACTAGAACTCCTTCCTTATCCTCATTTTCAGAAGAAACCCCCATCCATTCCATCTCCCCCTTTCCTTCTTTACCAAGGGGAGCTCTCGAGAACTACTTGATCTCTTACTCCCCTTACATGCTCATTGACTAGGCAGGAGCCCTGGGCACAATTATCTCAGAGCACAGGGTTCTCTCCCGGACAGCATACCAAACCTGCTATTATTATCATCAAGCAATATCTAAGTGTGATCTCTTGAATTATTTGTAACATTGGAAGCGATGACATCGACTTGCATTTTACTACAAAGACACCATTTTCACACGCAAGTAACATCGTAAACAATGTAAACAACAGGTCTCTGGCAGAAATTGTGACATAAACAAATAAATAACCATTTATAATTCAACAATATTGGTGTCGTTGGACAATGTGTTTGATAGGATGTTGTTCTGTGAACTCTTACCTTTCAAAGTGTACCATAACTTACAGCAATGAATGCATGCGTGTCTTGTTATTACCATGATACTTACTCCATATCTAATAAGTGTGTTCTGTACAACTTTACAAAAAATGTACACACATTTAGCAAGTACATTCTAAAATCTTTCCATTGAAAAACACTTAGCTACAATTGCTGCTTGAGGGCTGTAGCTTTAGATGGTAGTGTGTATAGTTTTTCAAGATTTCTCGTGTCCTTTTTGATGTAATCTATTCATAAACATCGACATGTTCAAAAACAGCACCCCAGTGCATCCACATCCTGACGCAGGCTAAAACATCGCAAATTCATTGTGAAATCCCGTTGACTATTTACATTTCTTCAATAAAAAAAACGTCATAAACAATTTTTTTTATTCATTTCGAATAGCAAGGAAATGTGTACACTGGTGACCAGTCAAAGTTGGGAGGAAAACTACTGTTCATCCACAAACAGGTCCACATATTAAGGTCTGGGTAGATTATATGGGATAAAATCTGTTCTTTTAACACGTTGAATGCAGGAGCAATAGACGGGAATAAATATCTGAGACTTTGACAAGCTGCCAAATTATAATGGCAAGGCAACTGGGTCAGAGTATCTCTGAAGCAATAAAACTTTGCTCCTGGTCAGCAGTGGTGAGAATTTACCAATGGTGGTCCAAGGAACGACGAACAACAAGCCAGTGACAGGATGTTGGGCAATTGAGACTCATTAACTCGCAGTAGTCAATAAAAGCTCTCCCATATGGTCTGAGCCAACAAAAGGTCTACTATGGCACAAGTCACACACAATTGTAATGATGCTCATGGGAGAAATTTGTCACATGAACACACGTCCCTGTTTGAGAGTGCCTGCAATGGCCACACAAGCATCAAAACTGGAACTTGGAGCAGTGGATGAAAGTTGCCTGGTCTAACGAGTAGGGCTGTCAATATGGCTAAAACCTCAATCCCAATTTCTTTCCTAAATAAGCAAAATTCAAATAATATTATAATTCTAAAGGCAATAATTAATATTACATAAAAAAATTACCCAAAATATTTTAAAGTTCTTTAAATGTCCAGAAAATTGCTATGTAAATGTAAGGAATTATTAATTTTATAATAATTATTATTATACTACTGTTATTATTATTATTATTATTATTATTATTA